GGTTCGGGCTTTTTTTTAAGAAAAGTATAAAAAAATAACAAAAAAAATTAAAAAGAAGGGTCATCGACCCGGCCCGGCCCTGACCCTCCGGGCCGAGTCATGAAACGAATGACCCTTACACGGCCCTTCTGAAATCCGGGCCGGTCCCGGACCCGTGGTCAACGGGTTTGACCGGGCCGAGTCCGTGCCGGGTCCGGGCCGGGTCAGGGTCGGGTCGGCGGGCCGGGCGACCCTTTGGCCATGTCTATTTGGGAGTGGCTTGGTTGCTGGCAAGGAGGGCTTACTCCATCTATTTGTTTGTGTTTTGTTTCTTTTCTCTCCTGTTGAGAGTGTCTTATTTGTTTTTTCCACTTGTGGGAGTTTTTGTATTCGTCTGTTGGAGTTATGTGTTTTTGTTGTTCTTTTTAGGTTTGTTTCTTTTCTCTCATGTTGGGAGTGTGTTATTTGTTTTCTCCACTTGTGGGAGCTTTTGTATTCTCTTGTTGAGAGTTGTGTGTTTTGTTGTTTTTTTAAGTCGGTTCTAGGCTACACTAGGTGTAATCCTCACAACTAGATTCAGGTATCTGATTTATTCGGTTGCTTAGTTATTATCTAGTTTGTACTTTTGTTGTTAATTATAAATTTTGTAGTTTTGAAAAAATAAATGTATTAATATATATAAAAAGGATTAAAATCCTAAAATATTTACCTTAAATAAAAATAATTTCCCACCTACAATTTTCATATTTACTATTTCAAAAATAAATTGAGTTTTAAACTTTTGAATGGCATCTAAATTTATGAATAAAATTCATTAAATCTATAGTAATATAAAGAGGTTGTTGAAAAAATATTTTTATAGTAAGTTTGACTAAAAAAATAAATTTTTTGACTTAATATTAGTGGAAATTTTGAAAAAAAACACATGTAAATCTATGGGAATAAAATTTAATTGAGATATCACAGAAATATTGGAGATTATTATGGTAACAAATTTGAAAATTTTTATACCAAAATTTAATTCAATTCTTAAATATTAATCCCATAGGAATCTGTTTATATTAGTAACAGATTTAAAGATTCTTCTGCCAAAAAAATTGAGATTTTGAATTGAGATATCCCAACAATTATGGATTTTTTTTTTCATTCAAATTAATGTTGTCAATCAAACAAAAATTGTTCCAAGAATAATGGATGCTATACTAAATATTGATAAACTCCAATCCTCCATAAATTATTTACATTTATGAATTTTGTGTGTGTATATATATTGATTTACTTTTTGTAAATTTATTACTATATAATAAAGAGAGGGTGATTTCGTTGGTGCCTTGTGCGAGGTTCAGTTGTCTCGTTGGGGAAGGGCTATGTGTGCCTTCAGATTAAATTTTTTATTTTGGTTGTTCTTTGTGTTCGTGTCTTGTGTTTAGGTTTGTGTTTTTTGGTTTGGCCGTTTGGCCTCTGTGTGCCCGGATGTCAAATTTATTATCCTGTTGGGATCCGACACTTGGGTATAACTCTGTTGGGGTCGTTTTTAGTTTTGTTTGTGTAGTTGGTTCAGTGTGGTTGTGTTTTTTGTGTGTTTCTCGAGTATTACCCTATTGGGGTCGGCTCTAGGCGATCTCTGGATCTCCCTCCCAGTTTTCTAGTCTTTGTTGTACTATTCAGCCTTTGGCTACTTTCTCTTCGCACTTTGTGCGGTTTTTATTAATATAGTGCCTCTATCGTTTCGGGGAAAAAAAAAAGAAAGAGGGATTTACTTGACATAATATTGAAATTCCCACTTAAAATTTTTAAAGTTAATATTCTTAGTATTTTTTTTTTTTGAAATGGCGACTAAATGAAAACTAGTACAGAGCCCGTGCGATGCACGGGGTGCACAATTTTAAGGCTATTTATCCAGGCTTATAATTATATACATGAATAAAGAAAAATGTACGGGATATATATAGTACGTGACCCGTGCGAAGCACGAGATATATTTATTTAGAGAATATTATATTATAAGATGCAATATTCAATAAAAGTTTATAATACGCAAGAAATTGTACCATGTTCAATAAAAGTTTTATAATATTCAAGTGGAGTCTTAAAGTCTCTTGTACATTAAGACTACTGACAAAATAATATTTTAATCAATGAGTTTCCTTTCCTTGTAGCCAAATTGTGAATATGATTTGAGGAGTACAACAAATCGATATATAGCTGACTTGCTTTTTTCATTGTAGTTTTTTTTTTTTTTTTTTTTTATAATGAATTTAAAGATATTCTAAAATATAGCAAAAATTAATTTTTTTTATTACAATTAGGAATTTTACTAAATATAAACTCTCAATCTATGGTGTTAATCAACGTTTAAGTCTAAAAAATTAAGAATTTTTATCTCTTTTAATCAACGTTTAAGTCTAAAAAACATTAAAGTTATTATAAGCTTTTTTTTCTACATCTTTTAAAACATTAAATATGAGCATGTTAGGGCTAGCTTGTAAAATAGTTAATATATTATCTCACTAAAACATTTATACTAATAAAAATTTAATTTTAGTATATAAATTTATCCCTTAATATAAGAGAAAGTAACAGTTTTACTTATTGTTGTTCACCATATAATATTTAATTATTATTTTATTATATAATAAAAAAGGAATATTGTTAAATAGTGTAGTAGAATTGTTATAAAATTATATGATTTTTTTTTAAAATATGGATTTAATATTTTTTTATGATTTGATAATATAAACAAATCTATACTTAACTTTGACAAATATAACAAATAAATACTTTAGTAAGTATTTAATGTATATACTAAATAGGAATATATTTAGTATAATCAAATACCAAATATAATCAAATAAGTCAAAGTGTACATTTTTATTTGGTATTTGATTTTTTTATCATTAAAATATTTTTATTATTATTACCTTTTTAAAATAAAACAAATAAATATATCAATTAAATAAATAAAATATTATAATACCAAAATAGTAATGACATTTAATGCAGTTGATTTTTCTGGATAGTAAATGTAGTAAATAGAATATCCTTTTATATAGTATAATACGGAAATAGTAATGCAATAAATACTGTTGACTTTTCTGGCTACTTAATTTGGTAAATAGTACCCCCCCCCCTTTAATATAAGTATAGATTTGAATTCAATTTCAAAAAGAAAAATGATACATAGTAAACCTAGTATACAACTAGGTTGACAACACAAGTGGAAATATCTACTTGTGTATTTTTTTATTTTTATTTTTGTGGATGCTTTTTACTTGTGTTGTCAACTTAGTTGTACACTAGGTGCCAATGTAGCATTTCTCAAAATATTTATAGAAAATCATAATAGGTTAGGTAAAATTTTTCTTCCAATTAATCAGGCGAAATCAAGTTGGTGAATTAATCTTTGCCAGTATAATTTTTTTTCTTAAGCTTTATTTCATTATATATAAAATATAAATTATTCTTCAAATTAATATAATAGAGATAATGACCAGATACATTTAATAGCATTACTACTGATAAAAAATTAAAATTGAAATATATTAATTGTTCTTTAGAATTTATTTTTATATTATTGCTAACCATGATTATTTTTTATTATTTTTTATTCTGATTTCTTTCTATAATGAAATTCTGGTAAAATATATTTTCATGCAGAGTATGCTAAACAAACTATAAATCCTTATAATGCAAATTAGAAAATCTTGATTATAGAGGGGATTGAGTTTTTGGCATTTGAAAATCAAAATTGTGTAATTAGTATACAAAATTAAATGATAAAAAAAACATGTGTGTATATTTTGTAAAATATTTATACACTGTTTAATTTTAAATTTATTTACATATTTAAAATTAATTACATAAATAAATAAGACTAACGTGCATTAAATACTTTTCATTACATAAATAAAAAGAAAAAGAAGATGTATAACTTCCATAACTTTTATAAATAATTATGACATTATATGACAACAAAGTTTATAATAAAATAATAATGATGTATTATATGGTGAACAAGAATAAGTAAAACAATTATTTTATCTTACATCAAGGAATAAATATATATACTATAATCAAATTTATATTATTTAAATGTGTTATTGAGATAATACTAGTATTTGATCAAGTGCATTTGCACACATATAAAATACGTTTTTGTTTGTATTTATTAATTAGGCATGTGCTTCTATCATATAAAAATTATTACTTTTTTTAAGTTATTTTTATCATTCAAAATTAATTGAGATTTAAATTTTATTTTAACCATGCAACGTTTACATTAGTAACATGAATAAAATAATTTATATATTTGTGGCATATATTAAGAAAATTAACATATATAAAAAATAATTATTGGTGTTTCTAATTTTTAGAAAAAAAATATGTGTCAATCATATTTTTCTCACATATTTTTCTTCTAACAATGCAACCAAATATAGCGGTTACAGCTCTGAATGTGACAATCAACTTTAAGTTCCAACATTAGCCGTTACACATTTGAATATTTTGCTACAAATTTAGAATTAATATAGTAACTGATCCAAAAAAATAAATAATATATATATATATATATATATATATATATATATATATTAAGGTGTAACGGTTTTAGCATATTAGTGAATAATTAATTAAAAAAATATAACTCCTTTTGGAGGGAAATAAAAATATATTTTATTAAATGTTTTATTAAATGCATCAGCTAGTAATTATAGAAATATAAGTACTAATTATTTTACAAACTATCTTTAACATGGTCATATTTAATGTTCTGGCTAAAGAACAACTCTGATTAAAAGAGGTGGAAAAAAGATTATAACTCTATTATTTTTTACACTTAATGCTAATTAAAAGAGGTGAAAAATAGATGATAACCCTATTGCTTTTTAGTCTTAAACGAATCGGCTGTGAAAATAAGTCATTTAATATCTATGTATCGTGCATCGCACGAGGTATATACTAGTTGAGAAGTAAAACCTAAAAAATGAACTATAAATTGAGATTAACTTAAAATTGAAACAAAAAAATAAAATTATATAGGTATTGTATTGATACAATTCCAAAAAATTAGGCTTTATAATATAATTTTACGAAACAAAAATATATGGCTTGTAATCTCACTTAGTCTTCCACATACATACCACCCACAAGGCCACAGGACAAACAAAGCGAAATATCAAAGCAGCTTCAATGGAACAAGAAACTTCTCAGTAAGTTCAGCTGAAAAACAGAAATCAACGACTTAGATAATTTTTGTATCCTCGAATTTGACTTTGAATCGTTCAATACAAATGTTTTTTTTTTTTTTCCCAAAGAAAAATGATTTAACTATATAAAAAAAAATGGCAGATTCGAGTCCAGCGAGATGCTAGCGGCGTATCTGGCGTCGACGCCGCTCCTCGAGGAATCGTGGCGGCGGTGCCGCAACGCCAACGCCGCCGCTCAGCTGAGCTTCGCCGTCGATCGGGTGGGGACGGTGGCTTACGTGGCGTTCTCCGGCGTACAGGTGGTTGATTGCGCGGAAGAAAGTTGCTGGAGTTTGGTAAATCTGGAAAGTGGCGGCGGAAAGGGGATTTTCGGTCCGTTTTGCGGCGGCGATGAGGAAGAACCGGTGATGGTGCACGGCGGCCTGCTCCGACTTTTTCTCTCCTTTTACCACACCCACAATTTCCAACAAAAGGTTAGCAGTGCTTTCAATTTTGATGTATAAAATGTTTTGAGTTGCTTTCGTGGTGAAGTCTCCGATTATCATTTAATATTATTTGAACTTCCGGCGATTATATTCACATTTTTTATTTTTTATTTCTAATTTCAATAGTCATTTTACAGATGAAATAAGAAAAAATTTAACCTTTTTGTATGCTGATGAATTCAGGAGTGTTACCGATATTTTTCGGATGGTGTTTAAGAACTTTATTGAAAAATAAATAAAGATTACATTAGTTGTACATAAGAGATGGATTCATTTTAAATAAATCCAGTGCCCCTTGGCTGCTGATGCTGAAAACAGTTAGGTACACATCACCCCTCCCCAATAATTTGTCTGGGGAGGTAAAACTCATTTTGGATGCAAATAAAATAAAGTTGGATATTTTTTTCTTATGTGTATTGTAAATTTTTTTTCTTATGTGTGAATTAATATATTAGCAAATTTAATACATCATTAATTTATTAATATACTAACTCTCGACTTTTTTTATTAAAATGAAAATCTATAATATAATTACACGCTAATATTATATATTACAAACCAAATACAAAATTGAATTATGCTGATTTAATTTTAGTAAAAACTTCAGTCATCTCTTCTTCTTGTAGGAAATAATCAACATAATAATCTCTTAATATTATAAAAATTATATTAGTTATTGTAATTATATTATAAATATAGTGATTCTTATGTAAGTTATGCAATTTATATTTTTATTGTTCATCTTTTTACTAATTGTTAAAATTTTAAAATAAGATATACTCATTATCTAACTTATAACTTTAAATATTATATACACACATATATTTTAAAGAGATAAAAATTTTATTTTAATTTCTGAATACTTCATAAAATAATTTAAAATAATCTTATTTAAAAACCACTAGTAAGACTTGATCATTTTGGGTTATCATAATTTTATTAATACATATAATCTGATATTACTTATCAATAATCTATGTCAATTAGGTTTTATATAAAAAATTATTGAATTAGTCTATACCAATTTTATTATTTTTCCGAGATTCACATATGTATTATTTTAATTTATAAAATTACATATAATTATTTTTTCAGTTATAAATGCAATATGGATATTAAATCCATGATAATCATGATATTTTACATTGCAATATGGATATTGAATTGAATACCATCAAACAATAAATAATTTGATATACCATACTTAAAAACTATTGACAAATATAAATATTATTTATAATTTAACTTCCTTGTGTATATTATAATTGTAAGTTTTCATCTACTACTTCAAACTAGTACTAATCCTGTGCACATGCACAGGTTAATAAAAATAAATAAATATTATATATAAAAATCATAAAACAAAATTTTCCTTAATAGTATGTATCACATTTATAATCAAATTACATTAAAGACTCTTAGTCGAATTTTTATAATGTAGAATTTACCATATACTAAATGACTACTATTATATGAATATAATAAATAACCTAATTTATACAATTTGAATATTGTACTAATAATAAACATAAAAGTATTACCAAAGTAAAAAATAATAAATTTAAACTGGACAACGTAAATCTTATATACCATATAAATTTATCTTTCTTCAGAGAATTATCGGACAAATGATATACATACTATATTTGTATAATATCAGATGAAAGAATATATATAGTTACATTGGAAAGATAAAATTCAAATGTTAAGTAAATGTAAAATCAAATGAAAGAATGTGTTACAATATTGTTATGAGTACATAAAAAATAAAGTTTTAATTAACAAACTAACAAAGAGTGCAATTATATTAATTTTTAAGACATGACCGTTACAACTTTTATTAAATAATAGAATATTAACTACAACAATACAAATAAAATGATATGTGAAACATACAAAAAATAACTTAAAAAATGGGGAAAAAAGTAGGCTATCTGCATTAATTGGATAGCCTGCAATTATATATATAAACTATTATATATCATAAAAATAATAAAAATATAATTTTTAAAATTATTTTTATACTAATTAATATTTCTTCATTATTTTAATTTATATAATTTATCATGATAGTAAGCGAAGATAATTTTAAGTGGATGATAAATGGGCTATTATGGACCTCCCACTGCACAAATCTCGGCCCCACCTCGCTCCTTGCAACCATAAAAAATCTCAATTTTGCCAAAATCTCATCTTTGTCAATGTTATGGAGCCACGTCATCAGAAAGGCGAATCCGAAAGAACAAAAACATCCATCCTTCCTTCTCTTGTACAAATTTCTGTTTGCTTTCTTTCTAAAATGAAAAATTTAACGGTGAAATCATCATATATGATACGTCATCCTTCTATACTTTACCCAGTTTTGACTTTAAAGGATTTCTTCTTCTTTTTTTTTTTTTTATTTTTTTTGGAATATATATGTGAATTTTAGGTCAGATGTGGACTATGTATTAGTTAAAAGAAATAGAAAAGGGCTAAAAAGGGACCAAAGCATAAAACCTTTTCGTACGTAATAAGTGAAAAAGAAATATAAAAAGAAAGCACAAATATCCTTTTCACAAAGAATACATCGGATTTATCTTTTAGCGCCACATTAAAAGAACCTGTCTCCATTCACCAACCTGGCTATCATCTCTTAACTTGATTATTAATTCCCACTGCATTTCATTTTATGTTAAGTTAGAAAAGGAGTTAGTAGTTATATATTTACTCAAGTGGGTCACGCATTTGATTTTTATTTTTTTATTTTACTGTGTTGCGTGACTCTTCATTGTCTCATTGAAAGTGCATGATTAATGGGTGTACAATACAAGGGCAATTTTGGCAATTTTGATCTATCCACATCATTTTAATAAGTGTATGATTCAACTGTAAAAAAATCATTGCGGACAAGACTGAATTTTAATTTTATCCGTACATGGTAGGATCAAATCTATAATTCGCAATCACTTTAACTTATTATGAATTTAAAGGAAAACTGCCTTGTTTTTATTGATTAAGAAAATCGCGTCTCATTTTATAAAAAAAATTCAAAGTATCCAATGGCAATTGGTTTCAAGACGAGTTGTCTTTTTCGCTTGTTAGTTATATTCCCTCGATTAGTCATTAGCGTCGCACTAAGTAAGGTATCATCTTTTTAATCTGATCTTTATTTATTTTTTCAGTTTCTGAAACATATGGCTTCACAAGAAGAGAATGTTAAACAAACTGTATTCCTAACCTATTAATCAATATACACACACACACACTTACATTCAATTGCCACGATCAATAATGCTTTACAAACCTTGAAAATGAAAAGAAAAAGTAAGGAAAGAAAGATTTCCAACACAAGAAACAATTTATTTATAATACTTTTGTTTTGCTTATAATTTAACACTCCATTACTTTTTTCAAGAAAAATCATGTATTTATGTTGTTATTAGAGTAATAATTGAATTTAGGTGATGATGAAGCTCTTTACTTGCACAGATTCACGAAGTGGTGAACGAGTGCAAATCGGTCATTTTCACCGGCCACTCCCTCGGCGGAGCCGTAGCTTCCCTCTCGACCCTTTGGCTCCTCTCCATCCTCCAAACAATCAACATCCACGTCATGTGCATCACGTTCGGCTCCCCAATGCTCGGTAACCAATCCTTCTCACGTGCCGTCCTCCAAGAAAGATGGGCCGGCCACTTCATCCACGTCGTGGCCCAAAACGACATAGTCCCCCGCCTGCTCTTCGCCCCACCATCCTCTTTCATGGACCATCTGCCAGCCCTCATCCACTTCTGGCACTCGTCGATGACCTCATGCATCGTTCCCAACTTTTCATGCGGCAGTCTAACCGAGCTCTGCAGTGTGATAGCATCATGTCTGGAGGGAGGAAGTGGGGCCCACCGCGGAAGGACCTCGTTCTGGCCATTTGGTAGCTACATGTTGTGCACTGGTGACGGGGCAATCTGCCTCGACAATGGAGTGGCTATCGTGAGATTTCTCTATCTGATGCTCGTCAGTTCCTCCTCCTCCTCCTCATGCGTGAAGGATCATCTCGCGTACGAGGATTGTGTGGGGAGGGCCAGCTGGCGCTACCTCACGAGGAACATGTCTGCAGACACGTGGTTTTTTTCCGAGTCGAGCACTGAGGCGGGGACTGCGCTCGCGTTGCGTTCGTCCGGATTGGATATTCGTTCCGAGGAGATCGAACCGATCGCGAAAAACAGCCTCGCGCTGGCGAGACGGCTCGGGTGCAGTCGCAACCTCAACGCGGCGAAAATGGCCGTCTCGTTGTCGAAAGTGACCCCACTCCGCGCGCAGATCGAGTGGTACAAGGCCTTCTGCGACCACCACCACTCATCTTACTACGACTCGTTCAAGCAAAGGGGCGCCTCCAAGCGCGGCTCCAAGGTCAACATGAACCGCATTCGACTCGCCACTTTCTGGGACAAACTCTTATTCATGATCGACGCCAATCGACTCCCCCACGACTTCCACAAGCTTCCCAAGTACGTCAACGCCTCCCGATCCTACGCCCTTCTGGTTGAGCCTCTCGAGATTGCAGAGTACTATAGGACGGGCGAGCACGAGAAGAAGGGTCACTATGTAGAGCACGGCCGCGCGAAGAGGTTCAAGGTTTTCGAGAAGTGGTGGCGCGAGAGGAAAGTCGGGGACGAGGAGAATGGATCGAGGAGTAGGTTTGCGAGCTTGACCCAAGATTCGTGCTTTTGGGCTAGGGTTGAGGAGGCTAGGGATTATGTGTATCGGGTCACGAGTGAGGTGGACTCGGGCAGGCATTTGGAGCTTTTGGATGAGATTGGGAGGTTCGAGAGGTACGCACGAGAGGTGGTCGAGAGAAAGGAGGTGTCGGTGGATGTGTTGGCAAAAGACTCGAGCTATAGTTTGTTTAAGGAGGAATGGGAGGTGCTCAAGTGTCAGCTGAAGCTGGGCTCTCAGGATGGGATGGTTCAGGAAATATGTTTGGAATGTTTGGAAGCTGAGGGAAATTTCATGTCGATCGGCTTTCCGTGATGGGAAAATATGATGTTGTGAATGGTTTGTAGATGTGATCCGATTTATCTGTGTTTGTGCCGATTGATATAGATGAATGAATATGTGTTACATATTTTGTTGTGGTTAATTTGGCTGTGTACTGGGGACACTGAGGTTGACACTCTTGAAGATGTTGTACTATATGTATGCATATAAATGCTTGTGTGTGCAAAATACAATATGTTTCTAGTAGCAGTACACCTGCTAAATCTGTAGAAATAATCACAACTGCCCTTGGCACTTCAGCCTGATTAAAAAGAAGGTGCAAATTTCAATTTTCAATTTTCAGGAGGTTTTCATTTCATTGGTAAAACAATCTACTATTAGGCTCATTCTTAGTTCTTACTTCTTAGTATAGCTCTGGCCAAGTGATGGTTTGTAAAGCAGTTATATGTGTTGACATTATTTTCCGTAACGGAGAGATGGACACATCTACTGATATATATACGAACGAACGAACGAACGAACGAACTTGATTTTGAAACAAGTTATCAGAATGCTTGCAAATTAAATAGTGTCATTTATGGTCTTGCGCAAGCTTCTAAGACTTGGTTTGATAAAATGCAAGGTTATTCTTGTTCAGCTTGGTTTCCAACCTTCACTTGCATGTATTGATTCAGAGCACTTTTAATAAATGTCAAATACATTGTGGCCTATGATGACATTACCGTCACAGAAAGTTCACTAACAATCACCAATCATATAATTCAACAATTGTCCTCATATTTTTCCTTTAGAATTCAAGTACATTATACAGCAGAAGGGATTCATTAAGAAGCTTCTTAAAATATAAGACGAAATCCAAGGGATTGAGCAGCCTCAAATCATCATCTCTCCTGCTCTTTCCAAGAATGAAGGCAATAAGTATAGATTTTCTGTACACAAATTATAGAGACTCTTTAGTATCTCACAATGATTTAAAGTTGAACCAAGCATATGATGTTCATCTTATACAGTGAGTTGTGAATAAAAATAAAGTTTATTCACAACAAATCCTACAATTCACAACTCAATGTTGAACGGGCATTTGTAACTTCAAGAGATTAGCGGGTCTTTCATAGTTAGATGAGACATGGAAGTTTTTGTATTTAATTTATCCCTCATTAAACTTGTTGTACAAAGTAAAACTCCATTCAACGTCCCTTATGATACTACCAAATCAAGACATCTAAAATATCCAAATAATGCCAAGAGTGAACTGCATTATGTCAAAAAACAATGAACATGGCAGTGAAAATCAACAATGTCAAACTGGATTACCTTCCGTTGGTTTTCTCGAGCTCAAGCGCCTACAACCTTTGGATGAATATTACGAGAAAGGACATTATCGTCATTTTTTTAGGTTGAAGGAGTGGCATCAAATGAATGCATAACTTGTTCCAGCTTCATCTCAGTCTCCACACTAAGAGGATTATCTAAACCATCAGAATGAGTGATGTTCAAAAGATAGAGCCTCTTAGATTTCACAAAAGCAGCAGAAAAAACTCTCTTGGGCCCTCCTCGAGTGCTATCGACCTTGTATTCAAACTCAAACACTTGAAGTCCCTCTTGGCTCTGTCTCTCTGAAACTAATATTACTTCAGCCTCTTTGGTGCTCTCCTGTACAATTTTACAAGTTTCATCTCTGAAACTAATATTACTTCATGCAATTTTAAAATTCCATAAGAAACCTACAGCACATAATTTATATTTCTTATTCTCACTTTTCCAAATCATAGACAACAAAACAACCAATGAAAAGTACACATTTTAAGATAATAGCATGATATGAATCACACTTAATTCTGATTTCGTAACCCTACTCCAATTCTACTACCATTTAGATTCAACTTAATGCAATCGACTTTATTACAGACAACCCATCCAAAAAAGGGAAATTCCAGTACAAGGGCCACCTTTTTTAATTGAATTTTATTCTTTCTTAATATAAAGTAACACTCAGTTTTATGCTTGACTTCTAAATGTAGGACCAACTAACTTATTTTAGGATATAATTATATGAACAAAAATATTGTTTTTCTTTTGTAATTTATATTTTACTTACATATGATAAAAAGTAATAAGTATCTTTAGAAAAATTGCCTTAATAAGAAAATAAATCTATATAAACTACATTTATGCAAAAGTTTAGTAAAAATTATTTCCAAAAATTGATAAAAATATATAATTGAAATATTATTTTATTGATAATCCAACTATGTAATAAAAGTAAGAAATAATATTTAATACAATTTTCTATTTCCTTTTCTTATTACTTCACTTTTTAATTTTCTATATTTGTTACATATTTCGATTTATTTTTTAATTTTATTACATATTTAGATTATTAATCAAAACAATATTTAAATTCTATATTTTTATATTCGCTTATTAATTTTTTGAAAATAAAGTAAAACTTTATGGATTAATTTCCTCATTATAGTCAATATTTTTGTCATAAATATGTAAAATATAATTGCATAAAAAAATGGTTCATATATATGTCAAAAAAGTAAAGTTATTTGACCCGTACATTAAGAAGTAAAATAAAAAATAGTCTTAAATTGAGAAATAACATTAAATGTAAATCTTCTACAGAAAAAGAATAAAATTAGCGCCTTATATTGATATAATAATTAAAAAAAAGTTGAGCCGATTTCCCCCATCCAAAAATTCCACAGGCCCTTTTCCATCAGTCAGTATATTTTTTTCTGTAGTTTTTATATCAATAAATTCATCTAGCATCCACATTTTAAACCTTTCCATTGAGACTCAAAAGAATCACAACAAAACTAACTTAGATTTCACCATATTAAGCAACCAAATCAGTTTAATGATCCAACAATAGCACAACACCACAAGTAGCTAATACATAAACTGACAAACCTTGCGCCTTTCGGCCTGGATAAGCTTATCCGCCACAAACTGAGGAGTCCCGAATTCTCCAACACTCGATATCCGAGTCGGACTCACCACCACACCCACACTGTTTGCCTTTTTCTTTGCTTCCTCGAACAAAACACTTGCTCCCGCCTTATCCACCTGCTCAAAACAAAGTCCATCCACATAATTTTCCAAAACCAAGCGAAATGGGTAAAAAATCTCCATATGAATTAAACCTTAACCCAGGAAGAGGGTACGAGGACAGTGAACCCTTCTTTTGCATCCGTGTATCTGTCGAGCTCCAGCATTTGTGATGCCATGGCCTTCGAGAAAAACAAGAATCTTGGAAGGGGTTGTCCAAGAGATAGCAGAAATCCAACAATGGACAGGTTAATCATTCTCCTTCCCGAGGAGAATGGAGATTTTTCGCGCCATTTAACGTTGGAGGAAGAAATGGGTGGTTCCGGATTTTTGGGTGTGAGGGATGAAGTAATTGTTGTAGGATTTTGAAGAATGGGGAAATTGGAATGAGGATGAGTTGCGGAGGAAAGAGAAATTCCGCAGAGAGACATTATAAAGTACGAAGAGTGAATATTATGGAATGGGATGGAAAATAAGAGGCAAGTGAAGTTCGACTGTGTGCCGGCGAGGGCCGAGCTCCGATGGACCAATGGTGTGGGTTAATAGAAACAACTTATTAATATTAATAATAAAAAGTTATTTTTCTTTCATCTACGAATTCATGCTATGCACGGGTAGGACATACTTATAAATATTTATATATTAAATTTCTAATTAAATGTATCATAAATTAAAAATATAGAACCAATATGTAATAAAATTTACCTATATTAATTTATTGAAAATGTTATATAAAATTTAAATTGTGCAATATTGCATAAAAATGTTTATTTAAAATTAGTACACAACTCGTGCGGTACACTTAACTGATAATAAATTACATTATATTCGTTTCAAAATAAGTGTCATTTCAAAATTTTTATTCAGAAATTCGATTTGATTACAATGTGATTCCATAAAATAAATATTTTGATAAAATTTTTATCATATATTTAAAAACCTATGTGAATAATAAGTATATATAAATATAAAATTTATATTGTTTCATTAATTAAAATAAATTTATGTTGTATAAACTATCTAAATCAAAAAAATTACGTGGTTCAGTAATTTATTAAATTATAAATAATTGACTATTCCATTTATGTCCAAGTTAATATTGACCCGTGAGTTATGAATAATTGTTTATTTGATTTTTAATTTTAAATATTTTTTTTTTGTCAATATATTATATACCAAATATTACCATGCAACTAATAAAGGTAATAACCACAAGTTTTGTCCATATATTATATACCAAACTTAAAGTATGCAACTAATAAAGTAATAGCCGTAATATTTGACCAAAATATTTATGCACATTAATTACATTAATTTTTTTAATTTTATTTTTAAATGATTTGCCGTCACTTTTTAAAAAATGTTTAAAAAAGTTACTAATAAAGGTAAAACTGAAATTTTTTGGCATGTCATAATAGTATTGCTCAAGCCAAACTTGGGCATTAAGGTACACCTCCCCTATAAAAGGGGCCTGAGATATCACAAAAACACATTCTCTCTACATTCATTACAATAATCTCATATTGCACTCTTTATTTCTGGCGAGTGCTAACTTAGGCATCGGAGGCTCGACGCCACCCCTCGCGACGTTGAGTTCTTGCAGGTACAGAGGCCGTTCGAGTTGAAGGAGTCCAAGTGAAGTCCATTTTACCAACATTAGCACCGTCTTTGAGACCCGTTCAAAAAATCAAAAATTCGGCAGGCAAACAGAGTTCTGAATAAATTTTTTTGAATATATTCCAGCAACCTCCTTCACCTCCGCCGGCCGCCGCCACTTCTGCCGCCTCCCAGCAGCCCGCGTCCAGAGGAGGCCCAGGTCTATGCTCCCAGAAACTCGCGTCCAACCCGAAGAGAAGGCCCAGGTGTTTGCGGCCCAGTACATGGCCCAGGGCTATCTCCCATCCGCTCCAGGGAACAGGTCGCGTCTAGCCCGCGCGGCTGCGTCTCTCACAGCATCCGGCCCGCGCTCTAGCCCACGCTCCATCCCGCTTCGCCCATAGTTTGGGCCCGCGCGAGCCCGCCTACAACTTCAGCCATGCAGCAGGCCCAACAAAGCGGCCCAGTGATCGGTAGGCTGCCCATTGTGTGTTTAACTTCTTCTGTGTGGCCCAATGCGTACCAGACCGCGCCCAAGCAACCCAGCTTGAGCCCAGATGATTCAATAGGGGTCTAGAAGCCACGGTGAACCCATGGCGAGTCTGGGACAATAGGATGTGGACGGTGAGGTAACATTATCATGGTGCGGGTATGTGGTTAATATAAATTATGGGCCCAAAGGATTTTATTCGACTTATCAGTGGTCGACTACTTTAGCAAATGGATCGAGGTCGCTCTGGTAGCACGGATCACATAAGAAAAGGTGATAAAATCTTATTTCCACCCATATGTTGCAGGTATGGTACACCTAGAGTGCTCATTTCAAATAATGGCGCTCAATTTAAAGGTCAAATGATAATCGCTTGGTGTGCAACTATAAAGATTCGACAACACTTAGCCCCAGTGTCTCATCTCAGGCCAATGGACATGCAGCGGTGGCGAACATATCAATATTGAGCGGGCTGAAGAGTAGGCTTGAGAGGGATTCAAGAGCATGGGTAGATGAGTGTATTCAATTATAAGGGCATATAAAACCATGTCGTGTCCTAGATTGGAAATGGGTCGTTTAGTATGGTGTATGGCATGGGTGCTCTCAACTTCCACTGAAAAGTCCTCTCCGATTCTGGTAATTTCAATGCAAATAGGTCTGAGCTCGCATAGGGTATCCAACTATAGTGAGGAAGAAAATGCTGAGCTCACGAGAGAAGCACTGGATCTGGAATAAGAGCTACACGACCAATCTAGGGTTCAGATAGAATTCTACAAATAGCAGATGAAGCCAGCTCATGACAAGAAGATGCGACCTTGGAGGTTTTAGGTGGAAGACCTAGTATGAAAATAATAAAATGCACTAAAGAGCATCAGTAAGATCGAGCCAAACTGGGAGGGCTATACGTGGTTGAGCTGGTATTTGTAGGGGGCGCGTACGAGCTGCGAGACACCAGGGAGAAGCTCTTGCCTCAACCGTGGAATATCACACATTTGAATAAGTTTTTGCTTCATTTAAGTATTTTACTTTTATTGATGTTTAGACAATATCAGTTTATAAAATAATAAGATTCCTATTTTTTATACGATTCGGTCTCAATTAAAAATATGTTTAGCTGCAGAAGCCCAAGTGGTTAGCTCGAGTGCCATAAGGTTAAAGTGGTGGAATATTGAGAGGTTAGCTTGGGTACCATATGGTTAAAGTGGTAGAAGCCCGAGTGGTTAGCTCAGGCGCCATAAGGATAATGTGGCAGAAGCTCGAATGGTTAGCTTAGGTGTTGTTGACGATCGGAATCGATCAACATTAAATAAGGATTTGATAAAGATTTAGGGTAGATAAATGTGAGAATAAATAAGGATTTACAAAGGAAACCAACTTTATTACTTTAATCACGAGATCGGCCTCTGGTGTCGAGGTCGACTCTTTTCTCACACTTGGGAATAGTTACAGTCTTTATTACAGAGTAAATGTAGAGAGAGAGAGAGAGAGAGAGAGAGAGAGAGAGAGAGTTGGTAGAATGATAAAAAACCCTCAATAAATGAGGTTGAATTCCTATTTAAAGTAACATAAAATCGACATTGTTCATCCTGTCGTTTCAGAGTGACAAGTGCGGCGTCGCTCTAACGGTCATGAAATGAGGTCTGAGATTTTTCTAATTATTATATGTCAGGCATTAAATGCATACATGTGGAGCATTTAATGATGACAAGCCGCCCTATCGATCTAGGCGTTGTAGGGTGGAAGACTAGGGTGGCGCGTCCCCTCGGCAATCATCATTTGACAAATGGCAATATTATATGATTTTCTGATTCTATGCGTGTTATAGAACACGACCTCGCCGAATCATCAGGTCGGACTTTCATTGCTACTTGGACGTCTTCAGCTTCTGACCTTTGAGGTTTTTTTGGGCCTCGTGCTCTGGGAGGTCGACCTCGTCCTTCGAGCGCAAAAGGGCCGACCTCCGGATATGATCTACGTGGCATCCTCAATAATCTTTATCTTGTGTTTAGCCCGGACCTTCTGATATTGGAGTTGTCGACCTGTCTTTTGAGTCGTCTTCGCCCGAATCGTCACTCTTGACCTGTGGGTCCCTCGTGACTCAACTCAGATATCAACAGATGTCATAAGGTTAATGTGACATAAGCCCGAGTGGTTAGCTTGGGTGACATAAGGTTAAGATGGCAGAAGCCCAAGGGGTTAGCTCGGGTGCTATATGTAAAGTGGCAGAAGTCCGAAGGGTTATCTCGAGTGTTATATGTTAAAGTTGCAGAAATCCAAGTGTGTAGCTCGAATGCCATATGTTCAAAAGGCAGAAGCTCAGGCTATTAGCTTGGTCACCACTAGCCGCTAGTCGCAACGCGACAAAATTATAATTTATATTTTTCCTCGACTAACCTCTACTAACTAGTAGTAGTGGCGAGCAAGGGTCGATCCCACGAGGAGTGTGAATCAAATTGTGAATTTTCTTGTAATAATTGAAATTATAAAAAGCGATAAATGGGGGGTTTTGATTTAATAACTAAACTAACTAAAATAAATAAAATCTAAACAAATAAAATAAAAATAAATAAATTAAGAGAAAGCTTCTAGTTCACAGTTCCGTCTACACCCTCGACCGACTCGTCTAATCAACTTTGGTATCAAATCTCGTTATCTTATGGAATTACTAGCCCTAGGTAACGACACGGTCTGCTACCCGAATTTTTCCTTAATTTTAATTTAACTGCGAGATGCTCTACGATTAAACTTGACTTCTTGTACAGTCCAGGAAAACGTTTCCAAGATTTAATACAATTAGCCGCTTTATGAATTAGAAAAATAGACTAAACTAAGTAGTGAACTCAACCGCGTTCGTTCACTTAAATAGGTCGTGTTACCACGGTAGTTACCGTCTTCCGGTAACATCTAATGAATTAAACACAATAACAGTTACGGATTGAAGGTCTAATTCAACTGTAGATATAAAAAGCATAATCTAGGTGATCAATCTAAATAAGACTCGACACATCATGGTTAATTATTCAAAATAACACAAACAATTCCAAAAAGATAACTCAATAATCAACCACGTAAATTGATCAAAACATCGTCAATCATAGGGTTCGACTTTCCCGGAACTAGAAATAAAAACTACTCTAACATAATAAATACAAAAAAAAAATAAATAAAAGAGAGAGAGATTAATTATCTCCTTGTGTACTGGTGCGGCCTCCCTCCGCGATCAATCGACTTTCTCGTCTGACCTCTTCTCTGTTCGCGTCTTTGTCTTTTTCCTATTCATTTTCTCTATTTCCAGCGGCTGCATGAATTCTCCTTTTTGCTGCATGGCTCTCAAATATATGTATGTTGCGTGGGTATGTGGAGTCTCAGCCAAGAATTTCCTTAGCAAATTATATGTCCAGCAAATAAAAATCTGACCAATTAAAAGTGTCCAAGCCCTTCAATTCCTCTCTCAGCCATAATTCAAG